CAAGTAGACAAAGAGCTAAGAGAGGTGAATGGTTTTACAGCCATTTATCTGAACCTTCTGCAGCTGGCAGGTAATTTACGTAAAATATACCTGAACCCCTTGGGTAATGAAGGCCCCCAACTCTGTGCATCCTCCCTTCAAGATTATTTCTGTGCGGTCTGGGTAAATCCTTGAGAAAGTCTTTGGTTAACGCTATAACCAAAGGGAAGCACCCAACCAGACTGTCAATGGATTTCCGGCAATCCATTCGTGCGCTTTTCCCTATAAAGCGGGCGTGTTTGTCGAAGCTCTGTCAACCCAGCATAATTTTGTATTTGCGAACCCCATTCGCACGCAGGTAATTGCTCTGTTTATTTATAAAATTCTTACAAAGTAAATGATTTAGGAAGGAAGAGAAGCTATTTGTCAAGTGAATCAATTCAGTCTTATCTTGATTTCTACAATTGTATTATATACAAACATTTGCTGTTGATCGACTGAACTACTAAGAGTTTGGACACGTCTACGGCGCTAAAAATGTAACGGACGGGTAGACCCCACGATGAGCCCAAAAAATAGGATACTCTGTGTTCGCCGATGATTTTGAGTTGCAAGGACGTAAGCCAACCGTTCCGATCAAAGTAAGATAGGTCAATTGTAATCGTACGCAAACTGCTGAGGTGCCCGAGATATCAAATAGAAAAAGAGCTTCGCTGATATTTATAAACAAACCAAACATTACACTGGTAAGTAGCAGACTTGGACTGCGCTGCAGACGCATACAGAAGTGTCTACATCAAATTAGACGGTTCCATCCTGACAAAAGGGCAGGGCGAGTGCAAATGATTCTCGTGTATAGAACTGGAGGGGCGGGAAGAGTGTGTTCTTGCTATATTACGCCGAACTGCAAGCTGGAACAATACGAATCATAATCTCGATGATCCTACAATTTCAATCCGCAACGCGCTGGAGCCAGTCAAGATTCTCTTTGCAGGATACTTCAATGCAGTGTCAAAGGTGTGGGGTCTGCCCGAAAGAAAAAAGAAGTATTACTGGTAGAAGGAAGAATGATCTTTCTGTAATGAACAGAACAGGGGAGCCATTTTGTATCGAGCAGGGCAGGAATCGCACGTAGATCTTACCATCTGCAACAAGGAACCAAAACAAATTATAACATGATAGTAAGTACCTATGAACGAGGAAAGCCTACGTGATCATCACTGCATTGCGCTACGGACACGCTTCGCTTACCGGCCCTACTTAAAGATCGATACAGACTCCGAAGCACAAACGCCTTAAACAGCGTAATCAAAGGAAACAATTTCCCTAAGATCACTGAGGATTTACAACGGACATTGCACAGGGCATGTAAGCTGGCAAGCAGGCCAACCATCTCAGGCAAAGGGAAACAATACACCCTAAATGCTGGTAAAATCCGAAACTGCAAAGCAGGTACTCCAGGATAGCATTTCTGAGAGCTAAGGGCAGCACGAAACAGAGAGCAAGCCTGTTCACCTCATTGTCGAAAATGTAGGGTGGAACTTATTCACGTCATAGGCGCGACCAGAAAACTATAACGAAAGGATTTTCTTGCAGAGCTTGGGACAAATTCATAAAGAAAGCCTGGCGAGATGGTGAAAAGAAAATTAGGAGAACCTCCATGCTAGGCATGCCGAAAAAAAGACAAAGTCGACATATTGAGGAAACTATTTCCTCAACACGAGGGGTTCCCATGAGCAACTTTCGAGCCCGAACAAACACCAATGTACCCGGAGAACGAGACACGTACGGTTACGGCCGCTGAATCGCCTGCATCGCTAGGGCGAGATAACGTCCCGCTTTTGGCGGGCAAAATCGTTTTCAGAACGTTCCCGAAGGCAGTGCCCATAATAGCCACAAGGATCACGCCCAAAGGTTTGCCTAAAAAAAAAGGGAAATGGCATTCATCTCAAAAGTTTAGAATGATCGGCTCGATAAGTTCTTCGAAGAACGCTTGGAACCAATGATCGAAGACAGGCTACGATCATTCGCAAAGGAGCATGGACCTATGACCTTCAAGCAATTCGATTTTGGCAAAAGGCACTCGATCCTGATGGCGACACAAAGTGGTAGCCAAGGCCGAACTCATACGTAATATTGTCAAGACCCGAGAACTAAGCATGGCAGTACTGTTAAATGTTAATAATGCTTTTAACAGCCCTCCGGGACAGGTAATACACTCAATAGGTGATACTCTCAATGACAAAAGGAGTGCCCTTATGTTCTATATTAGTCTTACCCCTATAGAACATTGCCTACGACAATGTGCTAGGACAGCAAGATATTCCAAACAACACAGAGATCCCGGCGCATGCGGACGACATGGCATTTACTATACAAGCAAAAGCGACTGTGAAGATGGTGCTCACGTCATTAAGTCAGTGAACGCAACCTTGGCTGGAATTTGCTTCGTGTGTGAGAAGTTAATTTCCACCTAATGGGCAGATAGATTAGAATGGTGAAGGGTGCTAGATATCCGGACATAAGACGTAAAACGGCGAACGTTATAGAAAGAATCCTGTCTAATATATATGAGACAAGAAGGTGGGCAGACGAGAGCTTCTGATAATGGTCGACAAATGACCCCTCAATTTCCTAGTTTAGTTCGGATCTTCTACAGGCTTCAGAACGAGTAACAAGCCGCTTCGAAAGATAAAGAGGACTGCTGGACTGCGAATTTCCCAAGCATTAGGACCCTAAGTATGGCCGGAACACCTCCGTGAGAGCTGAAAACAGGCGGAAAAGAATGACGAATAACTGCTCCAAAAGGCTCGGAATAACGCTCCAAAAAATCTGAGCGTAGAACTACCATGGAGAGTTGGCAGACCAAGTGGCCGACTATACCCAACAGGAATTCCAGAAGCCGGAAACCGTCACTCGACTTCAGATACCTATAATTGCTAGAATGCGTCGAACCACAGGTGGACTTTTACGTAAAACAGATTATTATGGGCCATGGAGATTTTCAGTCCTAGCTACACAGGATTGGAAAATCCCTATCCAACATATAATCCACCGCTACCAAAAGGCAGAAAGTGATTTCTGCTATACATAACTAATCTATTTTATTTTTGAAACTGCGAGGACAAAATTTAGCAGCAAGCTCTCGACCAAGTTTAATAAAGAGAGTTTCCTAAAACCTTGTTGAATTGTTCGAAACGGGGATAGTGGAACCTATAGAGTTCATGCGCGCTACCACCGAAGCGTGGGAACTCGGAGCGATTATAGCCAAAGAAGTCTGGAACAAAAGGAAGACTTCTGCCGGAGGCAAAGAAGGATATTTGGCACGGCGTCCAGAACGCCAGGTTTACAGGTATTGGGAAATGGTGCCAGGTGATCAGTAGCATGTCACCATTTCTCGTATGAGTTTATAATTTCAGGCTGAAAGATAATAAAGCTTAAAGTCAGAGGTACATTAATGGATCTAGGCCCTGTCGGAACCGAGTCCAGCTATGCTAGGAGTCGGCCTCAATTGTGTACATCAGTGCATTCATCCCACCTCTCAACAAATGAAAGCTAGATGACGTTATGTACTTACATAAACAACAACAAAAGCACAACGCCTCATAAGTAATCTTTAGTTTAGAATAGAAAGGAATAATATTGGGCATTGAAGATTATGCGGTCCCATTCGTACTGAGCTGTTGCTCAGGTTCAATTTTTTACCATATTATATTTTCGCAGGTCGCGTATTATATTCAACAAACTATCTTGAGTACGAAGCGTTCACCTCAATTGCGCATTGGGTGTGTATATCGAATACTCAACGATCAAAATAGGTGACATAGTAATATATAGCTTGGCGACATATATATATCTATAAGAATCTGCGATTGGATCTTTTTCTTTCAATAGACTTCCATTTTAATAAGAGTACACAAACTTGAATAACATAATCGAGTAGGTAACAGTTAGAGGCTGGGACTGAATGTCTAAGCTGTAAAAACAATACTCTTTTAGCTTTGATAAATAACATAGGATTTTCTTTGTTTGTTGAAAAAGCCCGAACATTATTACGAAGCTCTTTACCCTTGATAGGACAAAATGTATTTCACGGTGAACGAAGCGTGCGCTCGACTTGACCAATGGACAGACACATCGTGACTAAATAGTACATAGAAATGTTAGGTCGCATATTCTATAAAAAAAAAAAAAAAAGTAAGCCTTTATAGTATTTAATGATACAAAATGTAAAATAATAATATAGATTTTTTGAACAATTTTCCGTGTTATACAATATTGTTGATCAAATCGAGTTTTTAAAAACGAAGCATAAGTATTAAATTTAGTAGTTGATTTGAGTCTGCGCATGGCCTTTTATTTGACCATGCACAATCGAACTTGTCCTTCGTTCAAATACCTGCTCTATTTATGCTGTTCCTTCAAATACTGTTTTCTCGTTTCTGCAGTAGTGGAACCCTATTTATATCTGTTTCGCTTTACTGACTGACTTTTATTATCCCCATGATTTGCCACGTATCATGTGCAGTTCCCAATAAAAGGGAACAGTAAAAGTCAGCGAAAGTGACTTTTGTTTTTAAATTCACAAAGTAGAAGGTCAGGGTGTCTAGCTATTTGGCGGGTTATTGAGGTCGCAATGGCCTACCGAGAAATAGTACCATAGCTAGCTAATGTTTGACGCTTATTCTCTACGAGATCAGTAAAGGGTCGTTGATGCAATGTTGCTGAAGGGCTTGTTTCGTCCAAAAATGTATCTCATCTAAGCTAAACTTTTCATCACTTGATCAATAGCAATTAATGTTGAGCGAAACGGCGGTGATTACTAGAGCCGATAACCCAGGCAGGTAGACTAGCTCTATAGATGCAGATTAAAATTCGATAACTAGTCTCTCGGCCGTATAAAGCTAAGAACCAGCATTTCTTGCAGTTCCCTTCAATCGCTAGCCTATGGAAGATTGACAACCTTGAGCCGCTCATTGATTAGGAGCTTCTATTGGGAGGCCACCAGAAACTGATGCCAGAGATCTTTTCCTCTATTCGAAGAAAGCACAATTGCTGTTGGCAATGCCGCTTGACGAGCATATCAGTAGAATGCTCAGCTCAAATGGATGGTCTAAAGAGCAGAGTAAGAAAGACCACGAACCGAAAGAAAGGAACGGTGGAAAGCTGTTACCTATTCGCCAAATACATTTTTCTAAGGTGTTTCCTAAAGAAGAGTAGTGAACAGCTATGCCCAGTTGAAGAAATAGATTAACTCATTATTGGTAAAGACGGTAAAGCTTCTTCCGAGCTTACCAGTTTTATTCCGTTGACGAACCGCTAGAAAATTGGCAATATGCGTATCGACACGGTGAACGCTCTATGTACAGGAAAATATAGTTGGCTTTTATAGTACAATTATTGTTGAAGTTAAATCTCAGGTTAAGTGGCTAATCGAGATTGTGACTTTCGTGAAAAGGGAAGTAACAACAAAAGTGAAAATCAAGCTTTAGTTTTGAGGGTTCCATACGGTGGTCCCAATTAGTGGGTCGATGAAGAAGACTGTGAAGATCCGATAGCATTACTGAGCTGTGCCTGTAACTCCTCGAGCGACGACACTTTAATTCTTTCTGTGTGTCTCATTTGCGTTTCGAGTCCCACGTAATGGCGCAGCACGACAACCCGACCGCTCTCGAAGATCTGACCCGACAAAAACCCAGACGACCCCACGGGCATGTATTAGTTAACGCTGTGCGTAATTCACTAGACAGTTGAATCAACTATAACTGATAGCACTTGGTTTAATAATTATAGCATTGCCTGGCCCCTATATATATAGACATGCGATTTCCCCAGTCAGCTTATTGCTGTGCTAAGGCTTAGTCCTAGGGCACCGCAATCCACGTTCTGGTTAGTCTTGAACTGGCATGGACCATTGAATATACAAACACTCAACCAAAGATGGCCACGGTCCGAGTTCGCAATCATCCGTTCTAACACGAAAACCAGTTGAAAAGGATCGCTTCCCGCTGCTGTATGTATTGAGTATAACCCCAAAACAATCGAACCAAAAATTTACCTTGATCTCTATTGCGTACGCTGGTATTAGATTAAACGTATCTGGAAATAGTCTCAGAAACTTATTGATTGAGAAAAGCTCCTCGTAATCCGTTACGTGGAAAATAACGTTGTACTTGGGATTGGTCAACTCTCGAAGTCGCCGCTGAAGATCCTGCAGAATGCTTGCAGCTAACTGGTACTCGAACCCTTTGATCATCTCCTTAACCACTCCATTATAACATAACAACAAATCACGGATTTTAACCCAGCGAGGTAGCTTCTGACCTAGAAATGAGTGGGTACATCACAGATTAAATATGGCGAATCATGCTCTTACTTATGTGAACTATCATAGGATTACTGTGAAATATCTAAACATTTTTTACTAAACTGCTGAGCATGCGCATATTGCAAGGACTGTCATAGTTATTTGTATAATGTGTTGTATTTTTTCAGCGAACTTTGTGACATACAAAATATTTGAACTCCTCGGTAAAACGATACTATTCGTTTGTTTTCGAGGGTCCGTTTCGGACGTCATAGAACTGTTTCATATTTCTATCCATTTTACCCTATTTTCTATAGACTGGTGTGGTTATGGGGGTATTTTCTGTAAAAATTGTTTTCTCTCCATTTACTCCATCTATCGTTGATCTGGTTAGTATTTCTGAATTGTTATTAATTTTATACCTGTTGACCAATAAAACTGGAAGAGATCCATAATATTGGAGCCGTTCTGAAGGTCTTCAAGAAGTTCACTATCGTTTTCAATGGCTTTCCGGTTAAGGTAACGAACGTAGGACGCTGCGTTGCGCATTTTGCATGGTACAGTATAGAGATTGGCCTCATTATGCGAAGCCATTTCATTGCGCAGACGATATCTCCGCATTCGGTCGTCGTCTTTCAGACGAAAAAAAAAATAGAACGTTTACAAAATAGCTCAAGCATAAACATACAGAGGTAAGGCACCGTTTCCGCTAACTAAAATGATGCACACGAGCTTTTAACTTTACTTAACTAGCAAATCACTGTTAACACTAGCAAATCGATGTTAGGTTAATTTTGGGTTATAATGAAATAAGCAGTAAAATATTGTATTGTAGTACGGTTTCCTTGAAGTACGCCAAAAACGTTGAACGTGCACTGAATTAGACATAATAAAGCGTCTTCAAAACACTCATGGAGTACACATCTCGACCAATCAGGGCCCCAGGCTTTCTTACCTGATAGCTGAAAGTTGGGTACAGCCTGCAGCTCAGTAAGATTGTAGTATCCCGCGTACATAAACTCGGCCGACAACAAGAGATTCGACACTTGCGGTGCGTGGAAGACGGCACGGGAACAGCGTGTGCTATGTTCGCTTGCTAGGGCGTTAGCTATACTTGTTATTTTACTTGAGGCAAAATCGTTTATGCGATGTTGGTAGTGGTAAGCATAGAAACGGTCTCGAAGTGCTGGGATCACAAGCCCGCTTTCTCTGCCATTTGTAAAGTTACTCAATAATGGAAATGGAACACGTACTGCCGGCGTGAACAGGATCACGGTTAGACAAAGCTTTTTTTCAGGAAGACGTTCTCTAAGAAGCAGATCTTCATTGATCAGGTCGGCTACCAGTAGCATAAAGATGAGAACGATGATCATGTAAAATAGCTTTCGAAGAATTGATACCGATGAAGATAGCGCAATCAGCTCGGCTGGCCCAAAGCACAACCGTGACAACAGATTCCGGGGGCACATTTCTAGGCGCTTGCGCTGACCGCAAGACCCAGGGGCAATTTGAAGTGTATAACTCGGCTTAGTAAAATCTCGTATCTCTCAAGTTTCTCTTAAGTTAAGGCTTCTTTCACATACCGCTTTTCACCGGACTATTACACTCCGCTTCATGCTGGCACAGCAAAACCCAACAATTGCCCCCGACCAACGACAATATCCTAGACAATACGTCGGTCGCGACCCGGTGCGTTGCGATCCCGCATCCTTTCTGGATTTTTGGATGTCGTTCTACCGTGCTGTAAACCGATAAGTATCTTGAGTGAATCACTTTCAGTTGTTGTTTGTTAAATTTCGTTAAAGATGAATCGGGGCAGAATCGGTGGACCATCGTCAGTATGGCTGATCTGTCAATCAGTCATTCATTCGACGCATGAAGGGCGTTGTGGCTCCTGTGGAAAGTGAGCATGGAGCACGTAGGCCGGCCAGCATACTACTGAACACGGCGGCCAAACGATGACATCTATACATAGAAAGAAGGAGGCAAAATACCTAGAAAGCACCACGCCAGTTTCCTCCTACTATAAAAGAAAAGTACGATGCCATTCGGGTATCGTCTCTCGAATCCGGGCGCCCGTTGATTATTTGGAGAAGGTAAGAATGATGGCCAACGTCTTACGCCAAGTCGATCATCCCCAGCCAACACACACACACAACGACTGCGCTCTAACGGACGTCAATGTTGAGGCCAGACGGGGGCTCATAACGTAATATAGCGGTGCTCCGCGTGACTCAACGAGCAGTGATGGTGACAGGCACGGATTAGTATTGACACAGTCATGTCGATGCTTTATTAAAGCTGACGTAGAAAATTCCAGCTAATTTCAGAGATTAATTTAGTGAAGGATCTGCCTTCATTGATATTTGATCATAATTCTATGCACGGAAGCAATTTTGATTGAACGATAACATTAAATCAACGAAGATGAGCTGCCTATCAGTGAACGAACATAGTGCTTAAACAGAATAAGATTTCTCCGATTTCTAGATTAGGTCAACGCTGCGAATAAATTGTAAATTTATTATAGCTAGCTGATTCTCCAAATGATCTTTTCCCTAAAGGTGACCATAGACAATTTTTCGCTGACTTGTTTTCATTTTATATAGAATAGCATTAGGATGACGTACACCGATTAGTATTGATCTCTAACCCACGGCGTCCATTCTATGCTGGGCTATGCCGAACATGTAATGGCACCCACTGATGTTTTGTCGGGATGAAATTTCTAGGCTTGAATGTTTCCATAAGAGAAGAGCTGTCTGCTGCGAAACAGCGGCCATTTCGAGGAATCGGAAGTGTCACGGCACACTGTGCCACGTAACAGAACTTCATTTGGTTACAATAGTCCCATCTGTTTTACAACTATTTAATCAATCTGCTATTAGCGTAAACCTTTTATAATAGGCGCTCGAGATTGACTTTGTGTGGGCTATTTAGTCATTTCAGTCAACGATCTATGGTGAGATAGATGTTAAATTCAATTGAAACCAATCTAGAATTTGAGAGTAGGTACAATATATACTGATCAGTAGCTTGTATGTATCAAACACTTTAGCTTAGTTTCAACTGTTTTGTAGATTCAGTTTTCATGATTGCCGTGTCGCCCAGGTTATTGAAAAGTTTCCATTACCTCTCAATATGTATATATATATATAGTGGGACGTCTAGCTCTAGACCTTTTCTTATGGGTGGCTGTGTCTAAACGAAAGCAGATAGGATGATTTTCTTGAACTGTTACTGATTACGTTCATGTCTACTTAAAATAACCGCCGTTTACCACGATTATAACTGCAATTAGGGATCTAGACCACTAACTAGCCATTTTTTTTTTATATTCAAATAACGTGATACTAGTGAGCGTGTTTGAACGCCATTGCTAGCCGGTCAAAAGACTCCAAAAACACAAAGAGCTGGTGCAAGCGGGCTCAAAATGACTTGAAAAGATTACCCGCTGAAACTTATCTAAACGATCCAAGTAGCAATAAACTTAAAAAGAAAAGTACTTCTCACTGATCGAGCTTTGGGTCATCTTGAGCCTTCTCGTACCTTTCAAACGTTTTTGAGTCTCTGCATTTTTGAAACTCCTGACCTGCCGTCACACCAAAACTTAACTTGAACGCTCTTTCGTATAGAACGCATTGGACAAATTTACACCTGCCAATCCCGGTCGACGCACGACTTAAATTTTTGCATCAAAATTCAAGAAATGACTTTTTGAGTCATGTTTATAAATTTCAAACCTTTTAAATCTAATCAATATTGAGAATTTTTTAGATTTGCCTTATCTAGGTCTTCCTGAAATTCGCCTGACGCCCTATCAAAACTGGCAATGTCTGCTTCGAGCAAAAAAAGAATTCAATCTTGATAGGGATTTGCCCAAGACATTGTCTAATAATTAATCAGCCTTTAAGTTAAAAAAAAAAACAACGCATAGCTTTTTTTTCACTAGGAGTTCGTTATTCCGCTGTAGGCAACGACGAGTGTATGGTCGGTACAACAAACAGCCCGAAACATTGTCTGAATTTGAATGCTCCACCCTATATATCTGTAGATATATGTGTGCTACTTTATATCGATTAAATATAGATATCTGCGCGTGTTCCCCCTAGAAGAAAAAGATCCAATTGGCACGATGGCCATGTCAGAAAAATCGCTTTCACCGATCTCTTTTACTAAATGTCTCGTACAAATCCTTGACAGATAAATCTAGGGACAATGTAACAGCCCTTTGATGATAACTGGTTTGCTTTTCGAACAAAATTAATATAATCTTATATAGTTACGCCTTCGGACGTGCAAATTTGGATCCAACACGCAAGCCGAGGCTCCAGTCTCCCATACATGATATGGCTAGTGTTATTTCTAGATTTTTATTGAATGCCATTTTTTCCCTCTACTTTTTTCTTTTATCGGCACCGTCTTGCGAGGGGAAGAAAAGTGAATTAATATTGTATAAACCAGGTGAATAGATTGTCAGGGTCTGGCTTCTTGTTTTCGCTATCCAGTATTACAATGGCGTTTGCAGAAGTTGGGGTCGGTAGCACCCAGTAGTCAAATGAATAATGACCAATGGATAGACCAGAGTGATTTGCTAAGGCAGCAGTAGTAATAAAAGTAAGAGGTACGAGTCATCAGATGATGTAAGCTCATGGGTATTAGTTGCGTAGCTTGCCACCTAGAAGTTAGATCCTTCGACAAGAGGCATTATAATAAGATCTGGGCTAGAGTCCGGAGCAGTGCGTACAAATAGCACAATTTATCTGTATCATATAGTAACTGGGGTCGTATGATGGTCGAGGAAATTATCGCTCTTAATGCTAACAGACAACAAGCTAAAATGCAGCATATAGAAAATAAAGCTTTCATCAGGGTACCGGCTGCCTTACGTTGATCTAGCTTTTTGGATGGACCTCCAGCTGACGACTTCTGAAAATCAACGACTTAGATAAACAGGTGAATGGATTCATAATGGTGTCATACAGCGAGCAGGCACGACTTATTGTCCTTTTGAAAAACCAGGCTAATCATAAGGCCTTGTTGTTTATTCTATCCGGATTCCCATACCGGTCTATTGTTACTACTACTACATGTGTTATTTTTTCCAACTATTCGTTGTCTAAAGCAACCCGTCTAGTGCGTAAGACTAAGTGTGGTAGCCGCGCAGTATCATTGGTCGTTCCAGATACGCTGACGTAGAGAAAGTAGTTTGAGACAAAAAAAAGTATTCCAAGTTGCTAGGGTAAATATACAGGGTAATATATATATAAAAACACCATTCAGGCTGGTAAGTGATCGTAATGGGGAGATTAAACATTAGCTTCAGTAAGTACTTCTTCTTGTGCAGTAAATTGAAGGTAGTTCTCTGGCAGCAGTATTGTCCCACGTGCTATTATTAGAAAGCAGAGGGAGGCAGCTTTTGCACGAAAGTATATATAAAATATGGGGACGAAGCTATTTTTGATCAAACTCGACAATGTGGAAAATATTTAGGTGGATTTATTTGATTTGTCAACGACAATTTGCAAAATTTATCATCTTATTCTGTTATCTACTGGATAACATAGAACTCTGCTTGTCTATCCGTCCGTTTGCCTGCTCAACCCAGACTGACCCTTGCGGGCCACGAGAACTTTACCCTGGAATGAGTTGGGTGTAATATAGAGTTAAGAAAATGAACACTGCCTCCCAAGGTCAATTTCTTTTTTCTCTATCCTATAGATCATGATTATTAATTTTATACAATGGTAATTTATTGCGAAGTAAAGTTTGTCACACGCGTATACAATAAATTAAGCCCTATACTACGGGTGCAAAATTTCAAGGGAAGTTATCGATCTCTGACTTCTCTCATACGTAATGGTAAAGCGATGATTTTTTTAGTTTATTGCTTCATAACTGATGAAGTTCGAAGAGCTTTAGGCGATTTTTTTGGAATGCGCGATTACTTTTCCGGCTGGCAACCTCATTGGCCGATAGAAGAACGTAGTGCTGATTTGGGAAACGGCTGATGGGTTGGAACTATGTTGATGTTCATATCTCTCGATTGCATTTTCCCATTGTTCCCTAGAGCGTAACGTAGTTCACAGTAGTTTTTGTTCCTTCTTCAGTTGATCACTGCCATCAATATATTCATTCTTCCGTCGGGGGGCTAGAAGCAATGATCGATGACCTTGTCAGCCAAGCTTTAGCCGACCAGGATGTTCTTTGTTAATTTGCTCGACAAATACATACTGTTTTGTTAATTTCAATTAAGAGGTAAAGTTCTTCCAGAAGAGTGTTCTTTTTACTTGTATAGGAAACGTGACGCTGATTAGGATGATTTGTGACAAAACTGACCAAACATAAACCATCTTGGTGTATGTGGGCGATATTCTTCAATTGGATGAACTGGGATCAATTAAAACGGGAAAAACCAATACAGGAAATGAATGTAACAAATATCGTCCGATTACAACCACGTCCAACAAGGGTAACTAGAACAAGATGAATGTTGTTTACAGATTTACTGGACCAGAAAAATTTATCACTGCAGTGGGCTGCCGCAGGATCTCAGGAGAATCAAATTATAGATCTGATATCAAACTATAATTTAGACTAAATGACACGCGAACCAAACTCGTTCTTATTGATGGAGACTAATGAAATAGCTGCAAAAGACTAACGGGCCAGGACAAATGTAACGGGAAAACTGTGTATGAATTTTATAGTCTATAACAGGCCGAGGTTACCATCGACAAATCAGTTAGGTCAACAGTAAAACAGGCGCGGGACATACTGCCTAGTGTATCAATAAAAATGACCGTGTCTGTAAATTCGCTATTCGAAAATATCACATGTGCCCATATTCTCGATAGGTTGGTAATTGTTCTCTCCTGGCGTGGGGATTTTTCGAGATTGGAGTGGCTATTAGTTGACACTCTTGTTAGATGGATTACATTAGGTCTATCCAAAAGGTAACAGAGTCAGTGGGAACCAGATGATGTATTAACTGAATCTAATAGGCCAATTGCAAGAATTTAACACATGTTGCAATCTACTAACTATCGAGATTGTGGATCTGTCATTATAATAAGTTGGATATGGCACAAATCAATTCATCACTCTAAGAGCAGGATGGCAAAATGAACGCGGCAAAGCTACACATATTCTTGGGAAATTCTCTTGGGAGATCGGGGTAACAATAAGAATATAGCGGTATAAAAAGGACAGGGTAACTGTAACGGAATAAGTGTTAGTCCACACATATTCAAGTTACACTTCACCATGAGACATGTGCGGCATCATATAACTAAATTAGCTAGAGCTACTGCGACCTAAATCCAATGCAGAGCCCCACTCACATAACCGTGGTAAGCGAACGTAGCAAGTTCACGCCGGTGAACTTTTTTTTTTTAACATTGTGGGCTATATTCTAGCTTCTTGTACCCATCTACCGAGCCATCTACGGCTACCGAGGTGAGGTACTGCGTGTTCAGACGTACACACCGTCATTTATTCAGACTACGCATTTTCCTTTCATCAATATACTTAGCCGTCGTTACGACCGTGCGGATTCCGCCGTTCGCCATGTCGATATTTCAAATTTAAAACCATCGTAGATTTCTACCGCAGAACGGTCACAGCACAGGTCGACTGCGCAGATAAAATAATGCCTAGCCAGAAACAAATGATCTCTTTTTAAAAGAGAACCATCTAAAATACATTGCAGACCTTATTCCCTAATCTCATACTTCAAGCACTAGTCGACGTAGACGCAATACTAAAGGATATTAGTTTTAAAAAGCTCTCTGTTGCTAAATACTGGCCAGTAGAGTAAAATGTTTATGCTAGGCGCACGCACAAA